AGGAAAATAGTGATGCAATGTAGAAGTTGTTTAGTCATTACATGTGAATGCATTCAGATGTAGTGCAGCGGCACTAGCATATATACACACAGAGTTGTGGATATAGGTGAACATCAATATATCAATTATTGCTACTGTAACTTGTTGCCTGGCCAAAGTGAAGATTATTCCAAGACCACCTCCTTAAATAGCAGGTATGGTTTATGTTTTTGATATAATATAGGTAATTCCAGTGGGTTATTCTGCAATTGATTTGTGTAAATGAGAGCAGAGTTTGGCCCTTGAGTCTTTAGATGATCCAGTGCTACACTAATCATTTGTCGTGGTGAGCAAACACCCTGTCTGCATACATGGTCATTTTACCTTGTGAATGAAGTAAAAAAGTAGCCACTTGTATATTAGTAAATATTATACCTAACAATTTTCTCATCATCTCACCTGAAGACAGGCACAACGCAAACCCTTGTCAGTTTTCTTGTCAGTGTACAGTAGGTTCTTAACCTTAGCTTGTGCAAATCATCATATATCTCTCTACCTTAGGTACTTATATGGCCAAAGCTCTATTGAAGTCAGTGGAGTTATAACAATTTACACCAGCTGAGTATTTGCCTCTGGAACTCAGGATATATGACTTCTCCCAGCTATGTCTGAAACTCCTTCTAGGACCATGAGCAAATCATTTTACTTTCCTGTGCTTCAGTTGCTCTAACTGTAAACAGGAGGTAATAATCCTTCATTATACCTCATAAGAGGGTTACGAGTCTTAATTAATTAATGTTTATAGAGCCTGTGGAGGTTCGTCTGTACTAATTTTATGATTATGTGACTTACCTATTAAGATAGTCAATGCATAGTTATATTGCGCTATTGGAAGGTGGGAATTTACTGGTACAGTTTAATAGTGGGCTGTTGGGTAAAAAAGTATGGAGGTAACACAATAGTCCAAGTAAGAAACAGGACAGCAAACCCTCGAAAGTCAATAGCCAAGCTGTGAAGAGGTGATTTCCAGGCTCCAGTACAGTGACCCAGCTGCTTTGTCGAGGCAACAAGCTTAGAGATCAAAATGACACAAAATGCTTATAAAGGCCCCCTAGAGAAAGGGAGTTGGGAGCTGCTCAAGGAAAGTTGCTGATGGGAGACACAGATGTAGAGTGACTGACAACAGCGTCTGCAGTAGGAGAGTTTCTCTCTCCCAGTCCAGAGGTGCAGGTACCTGACCTAAGTAGAACTTACCAAAATATGCAAGGGAATGTTAAGGTTGAGGTAAGATCAAAGGTATTTAGGCTTGTGTTTACTCATCTGTAAAATGGGGATAATGATCTACTTTGTAAAACACTTTAAGCCCTGCTGATGGAAAAACACAATATAAGAGCTAGGTGGTATTATTATTATTTATTATTGTTGTGGCTATCATGCTGTGTTGTTTACTTTTCTCCGATTGCTATTACAGTACATTTGTTTTGAAGAATCGGTTTTGTATCACTTTAATCAGCCACTGGTCAGATATTCCTAAAGGAAAGTTGATTGCAGGCCCCCCAATTCATTTGGGCCTGCTGAGTTATCATGGTTGGAAACGGGGCTGCCACCTAGGGATCCAACCTAAGAGTGGTGCAACTGCAGGTTCCATCCAGAGAGAGGTGAAGGTAGCAAAACCTAAGCAGTGCACTCGAGAAGGATTGCAAAGGGGGAATGGAGTCTAAGGCACCATTCTCCCTGTAACTGTAACAGTACAGTTGGTAAAAAGTGTGTGTGTATTGGGGGAGGGGGGTTGTATCCTGATGATCCAGTTTAGAGCAGCGTGAATCACAGGGTTCCACTCTGGGAGAGGTGCAGATAGAAGGCTGTCACTTGGAAATAGTGTCCATGCAGAGACTGGGACAGAGATCACAGATGCAGCGCATACATGAAGCGTGACAGAGCCCCTTGAGGTGATCAGCTGAGTTATATCACATACATGAAAAATGTTTATTCTAGGTGTACTTGCTTGAAATTCCTTTTTGCTCCCATCACTATTTCAATCTTTTTCTAAGCAATCATGGAAGTATTTATCAAAAATCATTTTGCACATCTTTTATTTTAAAACTCTATAGTCCAGCCCTATGGTCTCTGTTTTTTATTCCATTGTTACTGATGTCACACATCATAGCAAAACGAGTGATACACTGGGTATATTTGCTTTTAATCCAAATGTTTTCTCTCATTATCTTCCATCAAATCACATAAGCATCCCTCTCTGAAGACTGAAATATCGAGTTCAGCACTTCATGTACCTTTTACTGAATTGATGTATCAAGTTTAGTTCTTGATATATTAAGTTCAGTTCTGAGTCGATTTCTTTCAGCAAATGTTGCATATTGTGTCAAGTGGGTGATATAGCTGTTCCTCATGCAACACATCAGGTTTGAAAATATGATATATTAGAAAAAGCTGACACGTTGGTTTCAAAAGGTTAGTGATGGATTCAAAAGTGAATGTTTCTTGTCAGTAAATGTATCTGATTTAGAAAGTGGCAAATATCTTGCATTGCAAGTGATCATATTTGCAGTAGTTGAGTTTTGGATCAGTCAGATATATTGCAGAACATATTATTTTTGATCTATTTTTGTGTTTTCTGAACTGAGAGGCATCAGTGTTCCTCAGCTTGCACAAGCACAGAGTGACAGAGGCCTTGGCTACACTTACCCGCAAGTTCGACGGCTGGAAATCGAACTTCTGGGTTCGACTTATCGCGTCTAGTCTGGACGCGATAAGTCGAACCCGGAAGTGCTCGCCGTCGACTGCGGTACTCCAGCTCGCCGAGAGGAGTACCGCGGAGTCGACGGGGAAGCCTGCCTGCCGAGTGTGGACCAAGGTAAGTTCGAACTAATTCGAACTAAGGTACTTCGAACTTCAGCTACGTTATTCACGTAGCTGAAGTTGCGTACCTTAGTTCAAATTAGGGGGGTAGTGTAGACCAAGCCAGAGAGATGAATGAACTCCTGGCATGAGTCTGATGTTATGTACCATTATCCAGCCACAATCATGGCCAACCTCTGGTTTTACCACTGACCACTGTGCTTTATAGATAGTCTACAGAATGCCTAGACAGGTGAACACCATGTAGGGAACATTGAATTGCAATTAATACTCTGGGGGAAAATATAGATTATCGTCAAATAATTACTATTTGAATTTAAATACTTTATTCTTTGTAATGTGAATATTATATGGACAAGAATGTTCTGTTCTGTAAACAGTAAAAAAATGTATAAATTAACACGATGTACCTGCATCTCTCCATTGAGGCACTTTGTATTACATGATTCATATCCTAAAACAGTGATGTCATGATGTGCCATAGTACATAGGGGAACAGAAAAGTGATGACTATTATTTCACCAGCATATAATTTTTAATGCTCAAATTTTGACACTGAAAAAGGTACATATTTTAAAAGGGATGAAAGCGTCTTCCACTCTTGGTTTCAGATAAACAGACTAAATGTATGAACACACACAACATTAATCATATTTTAACAAATAATTATAATTTACTACATAAGAATGGCCACACTGGGTCAGACCAGTGGTCCATTAGCCCAGTATCCTGTCTTCCGACAGTGGCCAGTGCCAAACGATTCAGAGGGAATGAACAGAACAGGACGATTACTGGTTATCCATCCCCTGTCATCCACTCACAGCTTCTGGCAGTCAGAGATTTAGGGATACCGAGAGCATGGGGTTGCATCCCTGACCATCTTGGCTAATAGCCATCGATAGACCTATCCTCGGTGAACTTATTTTATTCTTTTTTGAACCAAGTTATACTTTTGGCCTTCAGAACATCCCTGGAAATGAATTCCAAAGGTTGACTGAGTTATGTGAAAAAGTACTCCCCATGCTTGTTTTAAACCTGCTATTTATTAATTTTCATTGAGTGGGCCTTGGTTCATGTGTTATGTGAAGTGACACATCCTTAGTCACTTTCTCCACACCATTCATGATTTTATAAACCTCTATTATATCCCTGCGTAGTTCCAGTCTTTTTAACTTCTCCAGATATGGAAACTGTTCCATACCTCTAATCATTTTTGTTGCCCTTCTCTGTACTTTTTCCAATTCTATTTTTTTTTGAGCTGGGGTGACCAGACCTGCACTCAGTAGTCTAGGTGTGGGCATATCATGGATTTATACAGAGAGGCTTTAATTTTCTGCTTTAGTAACTATCCCTTTCCCAATGGATACTAACATTCTGGTAGCTTGTTTGACTGCTGCTGCACAATGATCAGATGTTTTTAGAGAACTATCAAACTATCCACAATGACCCCAAGTAATTATTTTGAGTAATTTTGCATTGTCTGCAAACTTTGCCTCCTCGCTGTTTACTATTTTCTCCAGATCAGTAATGAATATGTTGAAATGGTTTTCGACCTTTTAATCAGTTACTGATCTGTGAGAGGACTTTCCCTCTTATTCCATGACTGGTTATTTTGCTTTAGAGCCTTTGATGTGGAACCTTGGCAAAGGCTGTCTGAAAGTTCACGCATACTATATCCCCAAGATCACCCTTGCCCACATGTTTATTGACCCCGTCAAAGGATACTAATACATTGGTGAGGCATAATTTCTCTTTACAAAAGCCGTGTTGATTCTTCTGCAACATGTTGTGTTCAGCTGTGTTTCTGACAATTCTGTTCTTTACTATAGTTTCAACCAATTTGCCTAGTAATGAAATTAGGCTTACCGGACAATTGCAGAAGTCCCTTGTTGAGGCAATTGTTTTGGCATCTCATTGTTTCAGTTGCTTTAACAGTTGTCCAGGATCTTCACTGCAAAGAGCTTTGCTTTCAGTGCTGTCAAAGGAGAGGAGTCAGCACCATATGAACTTGCAGCTCTTCTTGGACCACAAGCAAGTGCTATGCATACCCTTAATTTGAGAACCACTGTTTATTAAGCTGAATAACGTGTGCACTACACCTGCTCATTTCCTAATATCATGGTTGTCACTTTTGGCTGTTTCAGATAAGAAGACAAGGAGGAATACAGTTACTGGTGGACCTGTTGGATCATCGAATGACAGAAGTCCACCGTAGTGCCTGTGGAGCTTTGAGAAACTTGGTGTATGGGAAAGCAAATGATGACAACAAAATTGCTCTGAAAAACTGTGGTGGTATCCCAGCATTAGTACGATTGCTCCGCAAGACTACAGATTTGGAAATCAGAGAACTGGTCACAGGTTTGATTCTTTCTATGTATTTTTTTTCATAATATCAAGTACTAACTAGGTACTAGTTCAGTAGTATTTGTGCAGCACAGTGATGTGTATCAGTTGCTTCATAAATAACCTTTTGCTTTATCACTATCTTCCCTACTTTGCAACTATCATATGCCAACAAATGTACACTTTCAGGTTCTTTGGAAAGGCGAAATATTGAGTGACTCCAATCAATATTTAACAGACACTTACTGAAGCAGCAGTGATTTTCTGACCTGGTTCACTCTCTTCCCCCCCCCCCCCCCGCACTAGTGGAGAACTGTGTTGATGTGATTGCATTCTAAACACAGGTTATTCTTTGTGCTAACAATTCCATCATTGGGTATGTGTTCCCCCTTGTAATTCTTCAGAGTGGAGTTATGCCACACCATATCCTAAATTTGCAAAGCCTGCTTGACTCTTCTTTGCTTCTTATAGAAATATGTGTGGGGGAAGTATGTTGAGGATATGGGCAGTATTTTCTTTCATTGTGAAAATGGCATACTGAACAGTATATACTGTAAATACAGAGAGCAGAGATTGGTAAAGAAATTATTTCATATTGTGACAGGGTAAAATCTGGTCTGCAATTGTTTCTGGAGTTGCTTTGTTTTTAATACAGTGTGGATATTGGTTTTTGAGCCACACAGCAAAAGAACAAACAAAATCCCTCACTATTAAATTCTCCAGTGTTTTAAATATTTTTCATCCATTTTTGACCAAAACCACCCTAATTTAAACTAAATGTTAAGAGCAGTTACTTCTTTTTAGGGATTTGTTTGTGTGTTTTGGTGCTAAGGTGAAAAGCACACAGCTGAAAGGATACTTGACATATACTATACACAGTGTTTCAGTGGGCCGAGATAGGTAGCATGAAAATGAGATATAAAGCTCCTTTTCCTCAGCTTGTTTTTGTCCAGCAGAAATGAGAAGTGGAAATGTGTCATAATCCGTTGTAAACTTCACCTCTTCCCAATTTGAGTGCTGGTTACACATGAATGTTACTTATTTTTCACTCCTATTTGCAGTATATCACAAACTTCCCTTTCCAGAGAGTGGGGCCCTCTGTCAGTAATGACTGTACATGAGCAGAGTTCACTTTTCATAAAGCTTTGTCATGTTACATCAGCTCCCCCTGCAAGAGGAGGGTGCTTGCAAATATGTGAAAGAAAATATGTTAAGCAAAAAACCATATGAAGATTTTTAAATCCTCTCTAATTTGACCCTTCTCTTGGCTATTAAAATGTCAGTGATGTGAAAATTAATTTCATGTTACAAATCAAAAATCTTAAGATCTCTTTAGTTTTTTACAGTGTCCATATCTCCATTGAAACTTTTTTTTACTAATGGATATGATAAAAATTCTAGTCTTTAGTGATACAAGGATCTATATACACACACCCCTCTCCACTTTTTCAGAAGATCGTCCACTGTTTAAGACAATTGATAAGAACACCAGCCATGTGTTGACTCAGAATTTCCTTGCTCAAGCGTGCGTGAATCAGCTCCATGATGTATTTTAAGTGTAGATTTTTGTATTTAATTTTGTTTCTTAATGATCACACTTTTCATCTCATACCTGTTATTCGTGATTTATTAGATTCTTCTTGTCAAGAAGATGCTGTGCTACATGGGGCTCTGATGATGCATCCTGCTGAGTGACAGAATTACTGACAAACCTAATAAAGTGAAACTACTACTTCAGTTTCAACATATTTGTTCTGCTCTTGGTTGTGTTGTCTGTCTCCTGACTCCAGGGAGCACTCTGCCTGCTTACTCTGAGCAAATGAGTAGCAAAGTGCTAATGAACTCCTTCAGTAGCTATCATGGAAAGTTCCGTGGTATCTGCTGCTGTAATACGAAAGAGATCATTATTCAATTTTTAAGAGAATAAGCTACCCTGTATATTCCATGCATTAAACAATATATCACTGAATTCTCATGCACTACCAATGAAAGATAACCAATCTGAGGGCTTGTTAGCTTATTTTTATCTTCAAACTATGTGACTGCTAATGACAGGTGCCAAACTCTGACCTCTAATAGTTGTAACCAGTAGCTGCAATGAAAGCCGTAGCTAAGAGGAAGGATCGCAGTCAGAGAGAGTACTAAGCATATATAAAAGGGGAGAAATGAGTAGAGCCGGGCAGAGTGAAGTTGTTGAATGGAATCAAAGCCATTTGTAGCTCAGGATTTCATTGCGTTTTTTACTGATTATATAGCCCACTGGCTATTTGTGGCCCACCGGCTATTTGTGTTTCTGTGCCTCTCTGTATGGGAGACACTTTAAGTTTGATCATGAATGACCGGTAGTGCTACTGCTCTGCTGGGCTCCTATCCCAAGAAATGATGTTCACTATGCCTCAGAGCTTGAATCCTTCAGTAGCCAGACTGGTATTGGGCCTCTTCATCAGGGTCCCCACTTGCTCTCTGTAACGACTCTGTAGTGTGGGAGCTGCCGCCCGTCAGATTTCTTCCCTACTGTCTTTTCTGGAAAAGGGAAAATAACTCTTTCATTAGCCTCCTCTTGTAGTGGTGTGAGAGAGAATATTCCTTTGGTACCACACCTAAGTTGGTGGTAGGTCCCAGAGAGAGGAAGCTTCTGTTGGTTGCAGTCACCTCCTTGAATAGGGTGAATGGGATATACTACATCAGCAGATCCTCCTTTGGCTAGTGAATGAATATATTGTATGTATCAACAATATACATAATATAGAATTATGTAATGAGTCTGATTATATATAATGTTTTTTATCCATCCATCCTATAGAAAACCTATTTTCATTCATTTTAGAGGATATTATTGGCTCCATCATAGTCCTATACCTGTCTTACTTACATGGCCCCCATCACCATAGTATCTCAGTGCCTCAGTATTTAATATATTTATCATCACAACATCCCTGTGATGATAAATATATTAAATGTATATTAAATGTATCACTGTCCCCATTTCACACATAGGGAATTGAAACACAGAGGTCCAGATCCACAAAAGGACTGAGGCGTTTGTTTGCTTTTTTAACACTGAGCGTCATAGTGCCTAAGGCCAGGTCTACACTATGGCCCTATGTCAGTATTACTACGTTGCTCAGGGGTGTGAAAAATCCACAGCACTGAGTGACCTAGTTATACCGACCTAAATCCCGATGTACACAGAGCTATGTCGACGGGACAGCTTCTCCCATCAACATAGCTACTGCCTGTGGGAGAGGTGGATTATCTATGCCCATGGGAGAAGCTCTCCCATTGACACAGTAGCGCCACAATTAAGTGCTACAATGGCGCAACTGCACTGGTGCAGCTATGTCACTGTATGTGAAGACAAGACCTAACTTTTAGGTGCCTAGAAAATGACAGGAACAAGACTGCAATCCACAAAGCCTAACTAAGGTGCCTAGGCTCCCTATACAATATATGGGGAGAGATAGGTGGATGGAGTGACTGGAGCAGGGGCACTGGACCCTTGGTCTCCCACTCCCAGGGGGATGTCCTGAACACCAGGCTACATAGTCATTCTGTCTGTCTCTCTGACCCAGTGACTGTTTCACTATGGTTAAATACTTAATCACTGGCTTAGAGGGGGAGAGAGTATGAGCATGGGAAAGGGAATGACTCTGTACTCCAGTAGTTAGTGCACTCAGCTAGGAGGTGGGAGACCCTGGGTCCAGTCCTCCTGCACCAATGACTCTTTCACTATTTATCCACAGTGGAACAGCTTCAACAGGAGAGACAGAGGGAGTCCTACATCAGACTATCTCATAGTCCCGTGGTTGTAGCTCTGGGTGACCCCTGTTCAAATCCTTCCTCCCCCTCTGGCAGAGAAAGGGAGAATTGAGCCTGGGCCTCTCACATCCCAGGCAAGTGCTGTAAACACTGCACTAAAAGTTATAAAGTGGCCATCATCACCTCCTCCACCCAGGTCTTGAAAGGGATCCAATCCAGAAGGGGACCTCTGAGCATGCCTGCCAAATCAGGCCCTGAGCACAAGTTAGGCAGCTGAACCCCTATCTTCTTCTCTGGCTTCTGAATTGCTCTGTGGCTTACATGGGAGATGGGCATTCAGATGCCTAGAGGGAGGCAGCAGTGTGCACGCCCAGAAGCTGAAACTTGGGCACCAAATGAGTGTAGGCACCTGCAAGATTTGCCATTTTTATTGATCACAGTAGAGCCAAAACTGGGACTTAAGTAGCAAGATACCTTTGTGGATTTGGGCCTGGGAGACTAATTGGCCTGTCAAGGGTCACACAAGAAGTTTTTCTCAGAGCAGGGACTTGAACATAGGTCTTCTACAGCCCAGACTAGGGCCCTAACCACTGGATCAGCCTTTCTGCAATTATATTTATAATAGAGTAAAGCATTTGGAATGTCCTGTAGCACTCACTTGTGGCTTCACCCTTTGTGAGCAGTGCACACATTTAAAATTCACGTTGAGAAATTATTTAAAATTGTTCTTCTTTGTAACTAATAAGATGCTACTGTGTTAACGTCTTTGTTCATGTTAAGCCCAATAAATTATCTCTTAAAATCTTTTGATTTATGTTTAGGCAATATTGAACATAAGGAGACTGCTCCTGGACTCTGTGGTACTGTAAATAAGGCAGGAGAAATTGGAGTAAAAATAATGTAAATATCTACATACAAGTCACTGTATAACTAATTTTAAACTGCACACATGATACATGTTTGGAACTAGTGAGGGAATAAAGGTGAATACATTTGAGAAGCCATATGGTCAAACAAGAAGAGAAAGACTTTTTCCAGGTTTTGGAATTTTTGTAGAGTAGGGGTTAGCAGGCCTTTTGCAAAATAAGAGAATTTTAAACTCTAGGCTTTGGCTTCTATTTACATTCTGCAAATCCAGGCATGCCTATAAAACAGCTGGACAATTTACACTGTAAAATCTATTTACAGTAGAATATATTTATCCATTGCCTAAATGAAGCTGTATACTGGATAATATTCTTTCCTTAAAATGATTA